AGTCCTACAAAACACCTCATTTTGAAACCTCAAATAAGTTTTCTCTGAACAGTCTGATAATTGTGTTCAATGTGTGAAAAATTAAAACACAAATATGTGGTTGTGAAGGAGAAATTTGATCGAGGACAGCAAATTTACAAATCTTGTAGGCGCGGCCGAGGGTTGATCACTCACCTGGTGGTTCCATAGGGACAAGTCTGTTGTGACATCTATATAGGTAACAAATTAGCAAATACCTTGGGAGGCCATGCAGAATAGTGGCAATATTTAAAAGTTTAATTTTATCATGCAACATAATTTAAAATTGGAGCAAATTGTTCTTATGGACTGATTCAGAACAAATGTTATTAAGCCTGTGTTTTTATTTTGTTTTCTTCTTATAAACTGAAGTACCTTCCAGTTACAATATCATTGCTCTTAGGTTTATTATGCACCTGAGGTCACTCTAAGTGAAAACTTGTTTCCATTTCCTTCTAAATTTATCATTTTTCCTCTTTAAAAAATATTATCCATGAGAAAAATTGTTCTTAGCTTGAAGCTTAGCATGGTTGTTTAATGGTTAAATAAATTAGGATAGGACATGTAAAATATTACACTTTTTCTCAGCATCTTGGAGGAACATGAGAATAGAATGTACTATCTTGCTCAGGAAGTGATTTTCCTGTCAAGTGATGAAAATTTTATTTTCAAATGAGTACTAACAACATGATATTTATTTTGTTTTAAATTCTACTGGAAAGAACTTCTGATACATTATAAAAATAATATCGGGGCCTCCTCTTGGCTATTTTTTTTTCATCTTATTGAGATATTGAAAATTAGATCCCGGTTTCACTTTCTGCTTCCTTTGAATTAGGAGTCTGCTGTGCCATTTCAACTCTATAAGGGGACTGCTCACACCCTTCACCTCTTTAAGGATTATACTCCCCTCTGGTGTATTTACACAATGTGAAAATAAACTAAACACTGTTGTGAAGCTCCTGTGTTCTTATCAGGTTCTATTTATAGGTTCTAAATTAAGTGATATTTTGAAACCAGAGGTTGTTTCCCTTAAAAAGATATTGATACTGTGACAAAAATGCTGAATGAATAAGCTGTGTTCTTCTTAAGAATCTTAATATTTTACATGGTGAAACAGAAATCATCAAAATTTACTGGTTTGATGTAAAATAAAGTTGTTTAAGTACTGCAACTTTTGTAACATCCTCAATCCCTCTGTTTCGTTCGTGTAAGTGCAATAGTTATTTTTGGGCAACACACTGGTATATAGGAGACAGCAATGAAACATTTTGGATTTATTTGGGGGATAAATTTAAATTAGGTAAGATCTTACCAAACCTTAGGTCAATTCCCCCACAAATGAACCTACCCCATATATAGTTAGGTATGCAGATGTATAGGAATATGCATACTTGCCAGTAACTGCAAAGCGAGGAAAAGAAGAAATTGAGAAATATCTCTTAGAGTCATTGGAGAATTTTTCCTAAGCATTAAAAAGCCATTTAAAACAGTACTAAGAACCCAATGCTGCCAAGTTCAAAGGTTCAATTTCAAAAACCTCAAAAAGACAAATATTAACTCTTTTTCTTAGGCTACTAGGCCACTTTTTTTTTTTTAACAGTAAAAGTAATCCTGTTCTTGGAATGATTTAAGCTACGTGCTTAGTACTGCAGAATGAAAGACAACACTAGTCACCTGTGAGTGGGCAAACAGTCCACCTGAAGCTCAGAGGAACTGTGTGAAACCCCAGTCCAAAGAGGCGGCAGAAAGGGGAAACCAGAACACAGGCTTCTGCCAGCTTAAAACAGGGGTTTCTCTCAAACTTTGTGTTTGCTTTTGGCCTTGGGCTTTCATTCCGTTAAGCATTCAAATTCCTAGGGGGTGGGGGAGGGGGGCAAAAAAAAATCCCAGGATCACTCCAGTTCTGCACCTTTGGGGGTTAAAAAAAAAGATGAATGTAGCTATGAACTCTGTTCATCTTCAAACCAATGGACTCCCCCTCCCTCCCCCCAGCGTGCCTCCCCCCTCCTCAGAGCACCCTTTGTCCACTTTTATGAATTAAAACATGCACACACACTTGCACACACAGGGAATCCTGCCCATTAATTAAAGGACTTGTCAGCCCCAATCCCAGATTCTTACAGTGCAGGAAATGTCTCTCCTTTTAAGTGCAAAACCAGAACATTACCATTTCCCCAAGTGCTCTCTGTTTTAGGCTGCTTTCCTAATTAGAGGGATGATAACAGCCCTGCTGATTGGCATTATAAAAGCACTAGTTTGGCTTCATCTGTCCCAGGTGTGCTGTGTAATTTTTTTCTTCTCACCGTTTCAGAGCACTACCTCTCTCCTTCATTGTTCCTTAAAGTTTTCATCTGAGGAATTAATACAGATAAAAAGACATTAGACAGGGAGCGCCACTGCCAGCGCTCATCACCGAAACCTTTTATCAAAAGTACAAACTACACAAGTTAGAGGATCTTTTTTCTTTCTTTCTTTCTTACCCTTTTGTTTCTGAGGGTTAAGGGGTTGGGGGTGCGGGGGGGGGCGGGGGCGCAGCGTGGAGAGCAAAGGAGAGGAGAGAGTGTGGGGGAAAAACACGGCTCTGTCAATGGACTGAATGCG